CATTCGCAAATGCAACTCACAGCTAGTGACTACCGGATTGACCTACTATTTTATGACCAATTCATTTAAATATGAATGGAATTGTGGCAGGTACTATTCATATTTAAATGAGTTTCCCATAAAATAGTTGTTAATCCGGTAGCCGATGGCGTTAGTTGCATTTGCGAATACAAGCTAAGACTGATATCATAGTGTATTATATTGCACAAATAATCAAATTGAGTTAATGTAAAAAAAGGAATTAAAATTTATATGTTAATTAGTAAGCTAATTAATATGCATAAAAACACAGTTGTTATACACTTCTTTTACCCCTATACTCATAATTGAAATACTAGATCGTATTTATTCTACTCTAATTTAGGGTTATGTTATTCAAGTGAAATTAACTCCACTTGTAACACATTTATATTCTTAGATTTACAATGATACCAAATCTCTGTTCTACATTGTTTACATTGTTCCGGTAGTGTTGATTTAATGACTTAATTTGCATAATTACTGTATTTTTTCAGAGAGAGAATATTCACAGGTAGATATGTTTATTGCAAGTCATAAATTAAACAAAAATAACTGATAAGGGATATTTAACTCCATTTAAATAGATGAATACTACCAAATGTGCCACGCCCCCTTTCAGAAATATTACATAATTTTAAAAAGACAATAGAAAAAAACACTCAACCTACCACAACTGCATATTTGTGGCTTTTTGACCAGGACATGTCTAACTATCAAAAAATGCAATAAAACATTGTATATACTCCAAAACAAGGTTCAATGATAAATCCTTTGTTTTCATCTAGACTATTTTCGGGCAACGTTTTGGGGCCACAGGGGGCCACTGGGATGATGTCATGGGTCACAGAGGGGTACTAGGATACTTTTGAGGGCCTCATAGCAGTACTAATTTGTTTTTGGGGGCCACTTGGGACAACTAGGATGCTTTTGAGGACCACATGGGGCCACTATAATGCTTTTGGGGGGCATCTGGGGGCTATTGGGATGCTTTTTGGGGCATCTGGGGGACACTAGGGTGATTTTGGGAGTCATAGGAGCCGCAAGTATGCTTGGGGGGGCACAGGGGCCACTAGAATGCTTTTGGGGGTCACTCTGGGGCACTGGGATGCTTTTTCGGATCACTGCCGTGCTTTTGAATGTCACTGGGGCCTATTTAGTATTGAATTATAACAAACAGACTAAGTTCTAGTTAATGACAGTGTAAAATTACATGTTTGTTAAAGTTATGATATTATAAATTGGTTTTTCAACCACGAAATCATAACCTCTTAACCCAAAATGTTATCATGGGCACTTGTGTCTATATCCCGTATTTGGGATGCCTCAAGAACAAAAACAATTTTTTTCTTAGTTATGTTACCCAGGTTAGAAAAACATAAAAATGATTTAAAAAATACTAATGCATTCAATCTGTTGTCATTATTGGGTTAAAATGCTTTTGACTTGAAGCTTCTAGCTCAATTTTGAAGGAAGTTGCATCAATTTTGTAAAATTCATCTTAAAAACGTTTTTGGGTTGCTTATGCCACGATCGCCCCCCCCCCCCCCCCGACTGAAAGCTGGCTGCATCCCTGATTAATAATTGCCCTTATGACATAATAACATAACACAATCCAAATCAAATAATTTTCTATAGTATAAGATTATTTTGTCATTACATTTTGAAAAGAATACATGTCAGTCAACTGGTCAAAATGTAACATTTCCTAAAGAATTCTTGTTTACAGCAGACAGTTTTGCTACATGATGTTACCATAGCAACAGTGTGAATTGAACATTTTTTATTTGAATTGGACATATTTCATTACATTTATTCAATTTTACTATGACCATACATGTATGAATGAAATAAACTTATAAACTCAACTAAAAGACATAAACTAGATGAAAGCATTACTGACCATTTTAAATACAGTAATTTCACAGAGTTATACATCCGGATTAAGATAAAATATGCAAGAACAAACAGTTATGACGTCATAATTAAGATGCAAATTACCCTAATTGCATATTTTATAAAATATATGATTGCTTTATCTATTACCTTTCATTTGGTGCAAATTTCATCTAAAGCTAAGCAATAATGATATGGGCAAAACACTGAAAGGAGCCCCTAAAAATGGGTGTGGCATATTTACTTTGTTACCATAGTGACGCTGCTGCGGATTCAGAATTGCCACCTTAATATATTTTGATTGCATTATCAATTACCTTCCATTTGTTGTGAATTTCATCGAAATCTGAGCAATAATGAAGGAGATAGGGGCCAAACACTGAAAAGAGCCCCTATAAGTGGGCATGGCTTATTCACTTGGTTACCATAGCAACGCCGTCGCGGATCCAGAATTGCCAACATCATTTTTCTTGGTGAGTATCACGTATAGTTCATAAAAATATGTGTCGCTTAGCTCGCCTCTTAAAAGGACACAGAACCTCTTATTTGGACTTTTGCTCCCAGACTATTAATCACAGGTCTGTTTCTAGTTTTTCTACAAGGCTATATTGTGTGAATGAAAATTGTATTTCAAAAACATTCTTCAAAACATTTTTTTAGAGAAACAGTTGACATGACACTAGAAAAGTAGTCATCTATAACTACATTATTCCTAATACACGTTATTAGGGCTTTTAGCATCACTTAACCTGAATTTTACTTGAATTGCATAAGAATACGCATAGTACTAGTGCATGGTTATTCAAATTTGAGAATTTGCGTAGCTCTCACAACCCTCGTTATGAATATTTAATACCTTGTTTTGAATAATTTTGAGCTAAATATATTCATTTAATGATTCATTGTTCATTGGGATTTGCTTCTCTTTGGGGTTGATATTTTCTGATTAAAGATTCCAAATGCAAAAAAATGTTTCAAAAGATTAAATGTAATTATCAACACTTATATGAAATTGACTAGAATCTCTGATCTCTTGAATGCAATGTGGGTTTTCAGAAAATAAGCATGATAAGAAATGATATTGGCCAAATCAATTTTGAATTTGAGATAATATTAATATTAATATTATCCCTATCCTTGATACCTCATTAACTCTTATCAACTCCCAATAAGTACAGGGTGAGAACAAAAAAAGCTAAGAAATATATTGACCAAAACCTAAGCATATAAAAAATGTTAATACTTAAACCTTTACAAGTTAATTTTAAGTAATTGCATTACTTGTTACATGTACTTAAATACTACTTTGAATTACTAAAACATGATTCCTGAGAAGAACTACAAATGGTACCATAGATCCATTTTAGATGGACTTACAAAAATGGACTGGAAACTCATGATAAGCTTTTGAATGATATCAATACCATAGACTCGATAAGAGTTTACAGTACATTTCTCTAGTCCGTTTTTATAGCAAACCTAATCATTTTCATGAATGAAGGACCCACGGTCCTATGCTCACACAGTTTGGAACCTTCAGAGGAATTTATATCCTGACTTTCAAACAAAAATATTGATCTGGATTTGTAGTCTCGAACTTTGAGAAACTTAGATAGCATAGTTGTGTGACCTAGTTTGATGACCTTTGACCTTGAAAATTTTACTTATTCAGAGCTCAGTAAGGTCTTTTGTGATTAAGCTGATCAAAATTTACATCCAAAAATCAATTTGAAAAATCAACTTTTTTGACCTTTCGAAGGTCACTGAAGGTCAAGTAAAGGTCAAATCCTAAAACTAATGTCAGATTTGAACTCCTGGTAACTTGAAGATGATTTTCAAAAAAAAATTGGTCAAATTGAAGCAAGTTGAAAAATAACTCATTTTTACTGTTTTTTGACGTCAAATATCTCAAAAATGGTAAAAATTTGATGCTGACATATTGAGAAATATGTAGGGAATGCTTAAATCTATTAATGATGTAATTTATTGCAGGAAATGATCAAGTATAAGGCAAACTTTAAGAATCTTGTCAATCACAAAACCTACCATTGACTTTATACATGAGAAAGTTTCCTGAAAATAAGTCCTACTTTTTCAAATTTTATAGAGTAAACACTAGTGGTCGGACTCGCCTGAAAATCTCCACTCGAGTGGGCCATGAAAAACCACGATTATATTCGCGATTTGACTTAGTTGAGTTACTTCCGGTTTCCGTTTCCCAAGTATCGGGAGAATTCATCAATTTGATCAAGTCTTTCAAGTGCCTCTATACTTTTTATTGTCTAAATCCCGGCTGTTGGATATTCCTAGAATGCATCAAACCGGAAATGAAACTTTTGCATAAAAATATCGAACGCAGAATAAAATCCAAGTATGTTTGTCTTCCGCACATGGCATTAAATAGAAAATAAGTTGTATTCTATACAGATTTAGCAGAACATTACAACTATAAGCATGGAAATTGCGAATAGGAGAGACGAATCGCGAGTCAAGGTAAGGTGAAAACGAGTGAAAAATATTTTTTTGGTAAACATTTCAAATCGTGAGTTCAAGTTTTCAACTCGATCAATTGATTTTTAGGACAAATGCGAGTAAAACTCGAGTACACGAGTCAGTCTTCCAACCACTAGTAAACACCAAAAACCGTAATTCCAAGAGCTTTGAAATCTTCAGAGGACATAAGTTGCATATACACCAACTACTAAAAGGTATTTGAAAGTTCTACTTCAACAAAGTGTCTAGTATTTACAGGAAATTCGACTTTTGACGTCAAAATCCGCAATTTTACGGAAACCGGGCGAACTTGGGAAATGGCGATGATAGGTCAAATAGGCATTATGGATATGCATAAAATGAATGTGGATAGGACTCAATCCGAATAGCAGTTTTAATTTGTGCGGCCAATGTTGACGGACGGACCAACGGACGGACGGACGGACGGACGGACCAACGGACGGACGGACGGACCAACGGACGGACTTACGGACCAACGGACGGACGGACGCCTGGTCAATCCCATAGGCTCACTGTGTGAGCCAAAAATGATGAGTGCGATAAATTCATACAGAAATGGAACCTCCTATTTTCAAAAATTGTGGAGAAAAACTGTGGAGAAATTTGCCAGGACTCTAACTAAATGTAGAATAAATACATTTGATGTATTTAACCTTGGCGACAATGTATAAATATTTTTCTTTGTCCTGCCATACTCTTTAATTTCTTTTCTTTTTTGTTTTCCTTTCTTCTTTAGACTCCTTCTTAGCTGCAACTTTGTCTTGTTCTTCTCTTTGATATTTTTTATATAATTGATAGACAACCATGCAGGCTGCCATTGGTATGGCTAGAACACGAATAAGTGACACAATCTTGGCTTCTATATTGTCACCTGCACTACCTGGCTTTATACTTACTAACTCAGTCTCAAATATCAGTGTAGCTCCCCCTGAAAACCAGATAAGTACATACAATATAGGTGTACATATAAAAGTACATACAATGTAGGTTACATATAATGGATACATACAATGTATGTGTACATATATCAGGTACATACCATGTTAGTGTTCGAATATATCACTCCAATTTATTACAAAAGTTCAAACTTGCTACCTTGATCAGGATATGAGTTCAAGAATTGCATAAACAAGAAAGCACACTGGCAGACTGTGCAACATTGGAAATCAGTATCTTACCTGGAATTGCAGGAGGAAGACCTTGTTTGCCGTAACCCAAATGGGATGGAATAATAAGCTTTCTCTTTTCACTGGAATCAAAAATATAGATTTAAATAATCAGAAAAAATGATAAGGCCTCCAATCGTCAGAAAAATAGCCTTCATAATCAGAAATATAGCCTCAATAAATTTTTGTTTGTTTTTATTGGGTCTGTTTCATTCTGCAATTTTTCCATTATTTCCACTATGTTGTGCTTAATTTTTTCTGAATAAAAAAAATCACAGAAATCATGCAAATGATCACTCACCCAACACACATGCCTTTTATTCCTTGTTCCCAACCTAAAACAAAATGCAAAAGGCATTAATTATTAATAAAATATTATAAAAAAAAGATAAAGAAAAAAAGATAATTTTGTTGTTGCCCAAATGTCAAACTCACATCATTAAAAACTATTAATAAAATATAATTTTGATAACATGAAAAAGATATTTTTGTTGTTGCACAAAGGTAGTTTCTGATTTTATAACACATTCATTCACCTTCTCTTACCTTGTATAACTCTGCCTTGACCAAGTACAAATGGAAGGGGATAACGTCCAGGTCTCCTGGAGGAGTCAAACACTGCCCCTGATTCTAAACTACCCTAGAGTTGAAAATAAACATCAGTGTTACACCATAAAAGTGATGTAAAATAATATTTTTGCTTGATGATGAATTTTAAAGAAATCATCCACTGAACATGGTAATTACCACACTAATTAACAGGGTGATAAATCCAAACATTGACCATATTTAGACCATCTTATTTGTCACACTTGGAAGGAAGGTTCATTCAAAGATAAGTTATGATTACCAATGCTTCTGCAGTTAAGTGTCCTCTGTGAAGGAAAAGGCAGTACACACATTTGTCTTTCCTTATGGGTACCCTGTCCCTGCTAGAGTATTTATATTAATGCAAACTTACAGTGTAGTGTATGGTCACCTCATCTCCATCTGCAGCCACAGTGTAACATTCTTCTGGTTTGTGCTGGAAATACAAATACAAAAATGTAAGATGACGTCAATACAACGCGATTACTACCATATATTGCATCTAATTAATCGGTGCATTGTTCGGCAGAAAATCACAGAAGGTCTAACCTCCATGGTCATTTTGCCTTTGATGCGTTACTTTAATCTTTCCGCAGGTTTCGACAAGCAGAACTAATTAAACCCTGAAAACATGGTAATATCACATAACAATTGTGATTCAAGAATGCATACATACCTTATGAATACATACATCCCGTATCCCTCTTAGACACTTTTGATGCATAACCAGAACAACGGCAACGCCAAAGCGTAGCGAATCCCATCGAACATTTTTCAAAAGGGGCACCTTCTACCAAAAGTGTCATTAGACAGTGTGCCATGCTTATAATATTCACATACCAAATATGAACAAAATCGCTCTACTATTTTTCATGTTAAAGTAAAATACGATAAAATGGTGGCCATTTTGAAAAATGGCCGCCTTCTACCAAAAGTCTCATTAGACAGTGTGCCATGCTTATAGTATTCACATACCAAATATGAACAAAATCGCTCCACTACTTTTCGAGTTATAGTTAAATACGTTAAAATGGCGGCCATTTTGAAAAATGGCCGCCTTCTACCAAAAGTGTCATTTGACAGTGTGCCATGCTTATACGTATTCACATACCAAATATGAACAAAATCGCTCCACTACTTTTCGAGTTTTAGTAAAATAAGTTAAAATGGCGGCCATTTTTCAAAATGTCCACCATTTTTCAAAATGGCCGCCTTCTACCAAAAGTGTCATTAGACAGTATGCAATGCTTATAGTATTCACATACCAAATATGAACAAAATCGCTCCACTACTTTTCGAGTTACAGCAAAAATCGTAAAACATAACGAGAAAAGGCCGCCATTTTTCAAGATGGCTGCCATGTGCTTTTTTAATATCTACATTTCTAGCTTTATTTATGTCCTATATAATTTTTTTTACATTTAAAACATATTGCTATTACAGTTTTACATATTGCACCTAAATTACTGTTAAATCGGCACTAAAATGGCCGCCATTTTTAAATGAGCGGCCATTTTGAAAATCGGCTTTCGAGCAGAACTTCTACCCCCATAGGGTATATGTGTACAAAATATGAATAAAATCGGGCAAACGGTATTTGAGTTATTGCCCGGACGGACGGACGGACGGAGGCGTTCCCTATACTTCGTTCGATGGGATAATTACGAAAATATTGGAGACAGGTTTGGAATATAAAATGTCGGTCAGTTCTGGTAACATCGAAATTGCAAATCGTATCAGAAATTAACCGTCATTAACAAACAGTAGGTTTGCAATTAATAACTATTTTGCGTGTACATACACACGCTATATAAATCAAACAAAGATACCTGTTACAGGCCTGTCAACTGTCCCGCAATTTGCGTATTTGTCACGCATTTGCTGAAGAATTTGAAGTCACGCCAGTTATTTTTGCGTGACAGAAAATGTCACGCAAATACGCATTTTACCTGGTAATTGTCAAGCAAAAATATTTCTGTAGAAATTTCTTTTAAAAAGATCGTCTACACAGCAAAAATACGAACGCCGGAAAAAAACGTACGCATATCGTTCGGACTTTTCACGCGAATTACGTATATGTCACGCATTCCGTTCGAAATTTTCCGTACCTACAATTCACTGAGGTAAGAATTTATGACTTATGTGACAGAATGTCTTTTTCGTAGTGTTAGTCATTATTTATGATCACCACTTTTACCTTGGGTGTCGACTTTTGGCTTGCAACCGAAAATACCTCAAGAAAAGCTGGAGACAGCTAAAGATTTTCTTTGCAAACGAAGGGTACCAAGAATGTGAAGAGGACATCTCTGACACAGTCAGCACTATCAATGGTATACTCTACCCTTAGTAATATAAGAGAGAAGTTCAGAAGCTGTTTGTCACAATATTTACCGATCCATCCACTCTCTCCAATACGCATGCGCAGCCGGATGTAAAAAATAAGGCAGTGACTGGAGAGCCTAAAATTTTAGGCTCTTTAGCATTTTGGTAACCCATTTGGCTAAAGAGCCTTAAATTTTAAGGTTCTTTGGCATTTCGGCTAGAAAGCCTTAAATTTTAAGGCTCTTTAGCATTTTGATTGCCAGTTTTGCTAGAGAGCCAGCCTTAAAGGAATTCTAAGTGACGGAAATGACAAAATATTGCTTCTGGGACGAGGTCACGAGATCAAACGATTTTGACATATTTTTACTCAACCTGTTTTGTAATTTAACAATCAACACAAATTAACATACTATATTTAAGCAGATAGCGGAGATATTCATAAAAATATATTTTTTGATCGATAAACTCACCGATTATTAAACCGAAAGTGTCTTCTCTGAGGTCCGCGAAGAAAACGAAGAAGGAAACATAAAACGATTTTAGTCATTTCAATTTTGCCGTGGATTTGATTTTAAATGCTTCTAAATGATCTTTGAATGCTTACTTTGACTTCCTATAAGAACTGTTTTGACTTCCCCACTCAGGGTTCTTACCAGGAAATTTTTATAACCCGGAAAAAATTCAACGTTCGCGCCCCCCCCCCCCCCCATTTTTGGACCAAAATTGAACCCCCCCCCCCCCCCGTGGATTTTAAAAAAGTTGCCCCCCTTCTTGACCAGGTCACGTGGTATACCAGTATATGTAACACTGGGCCAGCAGAGGTTGCAAAATTGCCTCCAAAAATAGTATGTTTATTACTCAAAAGTAAACAGAATCAGCTTTAGAAGATCTTAAAATATGTTTTCTAATCAAACATTTCAGAGAAAAATTGCTGTTTTTATGAGAGTATAAACATTATCATTTCTGTACCAGACCATGTGGTTCAATATTTACATCCTAACTTCTGATCATGTGATGAGTCATGTGATGAGATCAAGTTATAAATTATCCAAATGCGAGTAGGTAGTTACCAGTTTCACCATCAGGTGGCTGATTCGGGTCAATTAACATGGCAGGTATATAAGAAAGTTCCCTTAAACTTGGATATTATCAATTTAAGTGGCTCAATTTTCATATAACCCTTATGTGTCTGATACTTATACTCATGAAAATATGTCCAGGAAAGCAAAATATTATCTGTCCACTAAAAGAAAAGATATTTCATTTTTTGTGATTTTATAGCATGGGGTCTATGGGGAATCTCCCCGAGCTAGAAGTCACATTTTCAAACATTTCTAGATGTAATTTTACATGTAGATTTCAAATATGATATTACTTTGACTGAATTTTGAATTTTTAATGACGTAAATCAAGATTATTTCTACTCGCATCTGGGTTATTGACCAATCATGTTGTCATAAACATTCAAATTTAAATTTCCCACTAAACACATTCCTAAATGAAGCTAATATAGTGGCTGTTTCGTTTAAGAGGTTTCTCGATCCCCGTGATTTAATTATTTAAATCTACATGATAAAACGGAATTGCCAAATTTTATCGGAGGGAGTATGTTTATTGGAATCAATTACTACTATTTTCTCAATAGATGTCTCCCTTCATACCACATGAAGGAAACAAAAATGTCTTGATGATACGATGATTTCAATTGAAAATCACCTGTTTTTAAGACCTTATATTGGAAAATTAGAATCTGTACGGTAAGTGAACACTTTATCTTATGTTTTGAGAAGTTGTAACTCAAAAACCGAAGTTAAAGAGGATGAAAAGTGGCATTGAAAAAAAAATCCCAAAAAATTAGAGACCGGCGGCATTCATTTTTAGCATTAGACACTGGCGCTATCAGGTCTGAACATGAGAGAGATCGGCGGGGCGCCGGACTCTAAAAGCCTGGCGAGATCCCTGCCACAATTCATAAAAAGAACATTATCACTTTTTACTCGACTTGTAAATTTACTTCCGGTCTACCGAAAAAAAGTTCTTAGAACCTTTTCAATTCTCAGTCTAAATTTGGCTTTTTAAAGGTTCAGTAACCTTCGTGGTGCTGCAACTTGGAGCAGTCATATACTTGTTCAATTTTACTAATCAGTAAAGATTTTGATATTTAGAATAGGTCCTTGGGAGAATGGTGTTGAGGTCACATTTAGTGATGCCCAATTGGAGGCTAGCCTAAAAAAAATGTTGATACGAATGAAGGACTTGTGAGGGGGAAGTTTTTGCAAAAAATTGAAAAAATATTTTGTGCCTCTTGTCATTTGAAAATCCTAAAAAATCGGCATGGGAATCTAATAGGCAATAGATTTGGAAGTGTATTCTCTGATGTCCCCGGGCTGATGTCCCTACATTCCCGATAAACTGCATCATGATGTGCTGTATCTAGAATTTTCTTTTATCTGTACATATAATCCAAAATCTGATGTTTCATAACATATTATCTCTATACCATTTAAATATATACTAGAGTGGCTTGTACATGCATAAACTTAAGGCTCTTTGGCCGAAGTGCTAAAGAACCTTAAAATGTAGGCTCTCCAGTCACGGCCTTATTTTTAACATCGCTGCACATGCGTATTGGAGGAAGTGGAGGGATCGAGTGTGAGTTTGGACCAACTTTTGCAAGTTTGACCAGGAAATCACCTTTCATTTGGTATGTTAGTAACCTTTTTGATCGTATTGTAAGTATCATATATATGTCGAAATATAAGCATAAATGTCATCGTTTGAAGGATAAATGGAAATATAAACACTTCCGGTAAATATTCTGACAAAGAGCTTTCGGACTTTTCTCTTCTATTACTAGATCTAAAGGTAGATTGATAGTGATGACTTTGATCTCTGATTGGTCAAAAAGAGAGGCTGGGTCGGCATTCTCTGTCAAGTTGAATCGGCAAATTCGTTTGTATGGCTTACCTTCGGCTGCATGGCCCAACCTCGATTGAATGGAAAAGATGCTGTCCCCTTTTCCTTTAGCCTACACAGTCTATATGCAGTTATGATTTGGGGCAAGCCCAAATCATTAGTCTATCTACTTTCTCTACAAGGTAGATAGACTAATGATTTGGGCTTGCCCCAAATCTGCCACAGAGACATGTACAGTTGGGGACAAAAATAAATGACAGGTCGATTTTCGATCACCATTTCCTAATTATGGTGGTCTGAAAGCCCATAATTTCCAATATTGTCTAGATACACATAGCCGTAGGCAGCGGGGGTTCGGTGGGTTCGATCGAACCCCCGGTCAGGATTTCCCAAAATATCATTTTGCGGAAAAATGCATATAACCGGAAATATTAGATTACTGTGCTATTTGAAGACTACATGTATGAGCAGTAAATGAATCGATATTTGTTATGGTGAACACGAGAGCCTTATTTTGTTAAAATCATGTCATAGTGAAGTCACACTTCCCTCAAAACGTTTGGCAACCTTAGGCACGGGGTGAGATTTAATTTTGGGAAGACGCCAGAACATAAGATTTTACATTTAGAAATAACAATAATTTCGCACAATTAATTTAAAAGCTGCTTTTTCTCGGACAAAATAACCCATCTTGGGCAATGGCTAAATCAGTCCTTTGTAGGAATTTTGTTTTAAGCCAGTTCTGGTCCATGAATTTTGTTTTAAGCTAGTTCTGGTCCAATACGAATTAATTGAACGTTATTGAAAACAATGCAGACGTCCCATACTCCGAATGATTTTTACAACATTGACGAATAAATATCTGGAATAGTCGTTATATTGATGAAACACATGTTCTTTCAAATGTGTAAGGGAACATGGGGCAAAACGGCCCTAAAAATTTAATTTTAAGTTGTTCTGTACGGGATATTTTCTTTTTGTCAATCATCGCGCACTTTGATGTTCTACTTTATTAATGGGTTGTGGTTTACATTTTTCGAGTGTTTCATACTTGCCTAAGCTATCTTCTGTGATTTTTCAATGGCCAGAAATAATGTCGAGAGTGGAGCAAAATGGCCCATGGGTGAGGCAAAACGGCCCACCCTTTGTTACATGGGTTTTAAAACCAAAATTAATCAATTACAAGACTCGTCCATACACATCTTTTCTCAGACATTCAAGCTTTGACAGATAAAGTATTCTTAAACCCAGCTACCATAATTCTAGTCATTCGACATGTGTCGGAAGGAAGTAAGGTTCAAACCAAATGTTAGATTGTTATATTTGAAAACAAATTGTTCTTGTACAATACGATTGTATGTTGTAACCTTTGTGGGCTGTTTTGCCCCAATCGGACATGTTAATTTTCAAATAGACTCATTTTACTTTGCCTAATATTTGAAGCTCGAAATGTTTACAAATAAAGAATAAATATGCATACTCTATGTAAAATGTTAAATCAAAAACGATATTGTATCGTTGCCGGATTTTTAGAGATTCTCTTGGGAGGGGTAATTTGCAAAAAAAGAGAGTGAAAAGTAGAATTACCTCTTACGTAAAGCGAGACGCTGCTAGGTTAGAAATTGGCGGTAGAGAAGGTGGTTGAAATTTCAAAATTCGATTATGTGACTTTTGAAAAATCAAATTTTTATAGTTCAAAAGATATTGTGATGGGCCATTTTGCCTAACAGGGCCGTTTTGCCCGATGTTCCCTTACATCTCTGTTTTATTTTATTTCAATTAAAATTTAAAATATTTCTTGGGACGTCCCTGGGGCTGGCAAGTTCGCAAAACCAATTGCGTTAAAATATTAAAAACGTTGTGAAATGAATTATTTAAAAGCGTATATCATTTATAGACAAGCATTTGTTCAAATTTATTCATTCTTTCATTTGTTCAGTATTTATTTACCCATCACTTTTTCAAAGAAAAATCGATCATTGCAAAAATGATTTTGTTTTTTCAGATACACTCCACTCATCTAAGAGATTCTATAGAATTCAAATTGTCATCGTTCCAGTTTACTTGCTCTCCATTTTCACGTTAATGTCATGATATGTTTAGCAAATAAAATTACATGATAAAAAAACATTGAAAAAACATATGGTATTAATCTTCAAATAATGAAGACCTAATTTGTTATCAAGCCGTCTGAACTTAACAAAAAATGTGTTTTATATTCGAACAGTTGCTTGTTTTTATATATGATTTATATCCACCAAAACGTTTTTATTATCAATTGCAGTTAATCTGCTCCGGAGGACTTACCACTGACTGAGCTCCGGGGACGTCCAAAGAAATATTTTCATCTTTTAAAAACAAAGCATAACTGAAACCCACTTATTTAAATAACAGATGTTTTCATCAGTAATACGACTATCCCGGATAGTTCAAAAAACCTTTGTGTAAACGTTGTGAAAAGTTATCGTAGAAGAATGATCTTTCGGAGTATAGGGTGTTTACGCCAATTTCAATAACCTTGCATTTGATCCGAACTGGCTTCCAACAAAATTCCTGAAAAATAATGATAAGCCATTGCATGAGGTGATTTATTTTGTCCTAGATGAAGTACCCTGAGTTAAAGAATAAATTGTGCGAAATAGTTGATATTCCTTGGAAATCATGCTCCGGGATCTTCTAGAAATCAGACGAAATAAGGGTGGATTCGGGGCAAATCAGGTTTCAGGATATGTATTCAGTAAAAGATTCACCAAAATATATTTTGATGCAGAAAATTAATTATAAGTTGTCTGACTTTTTTTGTACGTTGCCTGTTTATACTTGCGAACATTAAAGTTACAAAGCTGCAAGGTCATTTTTGAAAATCATTTTTATGTACAGTGTTAGTTCAATGGGAGAGGGTTCTTGATAAAGCCTATTACTTTCAGACTTTGCTTGACGAAAATAAAGACATCATTTTTATTAAATAAAATTCAAATTTAAAGAATTCATCAAACTTAAAGATGCTATAATATATAATACAATGGGCTAGTTTGGATTGCCAAACTTTTGGAGGGGGTGTAATTGTACAAATTGCATTATTTGAGGAACCCGGGGGGGGGGGATTTGTGAATAACATAAAAATAGAACCCCCGGTCACCAAATCCTGGCTACGCCACTGATACATATCCCTTAAAATTTGTATATTTTACATTTTGTATAATCTCATCCACTGATTTATGGCCTCTTGTAAATTCTCTTATTTTTAACATGGGAAATCCTCACTTCAGCAAATCCACCTGTCATTTATTTATGTCCCCAACTGTAGCACTATGATATGAGATGAGCACTATGATAGGCCCTATAGTATAAGAAGTAATTTCTCTCTATATAAAGCCACATATCAGTCTCTCTATATAAAGCCCCATATCAGGCAGCATATCAGTCATCATAAACGTGCTACAAGATCCTGTGAAATCTGCATACAGACTGTGTTAGCCTACGATTTTTTCTAAAAAAATAAACTGAGCTGAACTTGATTTAGGGGAAAATGTCTTACTTCTACAATAATTTCCAGCTCTTTCTTCTTCTTCTTTTGTCCCAATGCATCATCTGTATAATGAAATAGTATTATACTCGATATGAACACTAGTTGTAGCTGTAGATGCATGTTTACGTGGTAGGCCGGGCGAGTTTTTCGAACTTTATGTTTACGTAGGCCGGAACTTTACTTTCACGCCTCTTGTTTGAAGAGCTCGTATTGACATGACACACCCACTCTTGTTTAGGTCGTCTCTTCGAGGTATGGTATAAACCTATAGTGACTTTCTCGGAGAAATCTATTGCAAAATGTAGTGAGCTCTAAATCTACATAACAGTACGTAGCATTGTTTCTTTATTCACGCTCTGGAAAAAACGAAAGTGAAACTAGGGGTGCATTCACTCCGATGTTCCCGGAAGCTAAAAAGCCGGAAGTGAAAATAAAAGTCGATGATTTTATAATATACCTAGTTTATTTTGTTATTGCGGGTGATTCGCACCCTTAAGTAACTATGTCTGGCTATATTGAGCCAAGTGAGTTTGTGAAGGAAGCCTGGGATGACTTCAATTCACCAACAACTTCAAGTTTTATGTCCAGAATTGGAGATTGCAAAAGGACCGTCTCCCATTTAGAAGAGGTGAGTTTAGCACTTGCAGTTTCAATCTAGTTATTTTAAGTAGTATGCTATTTTTACTTAGGAGAGAATTATACTTCCTATTTATACTAAGTATCACGCAAATCACGCATTTTGTTGATATTTTTAAAAATCGTTTTTTATAAAATGCTGACACGGTAAACACGAATGGCGAAAGCCATAGTATTTGTGGCAAACCATAACTCATTTGAAGCGTCTTGTTATTCCGAAACCCCAAACAAAGGTTATTCAAACTTTCCTGCATTTATAATAGTCAAAAATAATTTCATCGCGACAACGTAAGATGGCGGACACTACAGTAGTCAATGAAATAATTGAACACCAACTTAAGTTAGAAAATATAAATATATCACGCACCACGAGACTAGGTGCCTTCAAGGACTCTGAGAGGCCAAGGCCACTGCTGATTATTTTCGAGGACACAGAAATGAGAAACGATGTGATGAATGCTGCCCCAAACCTCAGAAAAAGCACCCAATGGAACAGAACTTATATACAGCCAGACCTTTCCCCTTATGAGAGAAGAATAGCGTATGAACTACGACAAGAGAGAAATCAACGGATACAAAATGGAGAACAAGGTCTTATTATACGAAACGGAAAGATAACAAAGAAACGCCAAGCTGATCCACCAAGACAACAGTATACACGCAGACCACAACTTGATACAAATGTAAGGGAGATTTCAGACAAAGAGGATAACATCTCAACCCACACTGATGATACAATAGAATCAGACATGGAAAGCCAAATGTACCATCCACCACGATCACCATGGCAACCTCACCAACATTTCCCAAACTCAAACAGACGAATTGAGATAGAAAAATCAGCTAGCTACCACAAAGCAGACAATCCCTCCCCCCTACCTCAAACAACAAGTGAATATCATACTCCAGACAGGCAAATTGAAATAATAGAAGAAACAAGCTACCGGAGCAGTAGCAAAAAAGACTGACAGAAGAAGGAAAAAATTGTAAATAGTGTAAATAGTGTAAATAAAACAATAGGAAACAACAAAAAGCAAAGGGAAAAAGATGTAAATTTGACTAATCCTAGTAATGACAGAAACCTGAAACCATTAACAGTCATCTATGGAAACTGTGATTCACTAATGAACAAACGAGACGAATTAAAAGTCATTATCCAGATGAAAGATCCAGACATCATTGCTCTAACAGAAATCAAACCAAAAAACTCGAAATACCCAGTTCTAGAACAAGAACTTAAACTCGATATGTACAACAGTTTCCACAATATTGATAAGACAAACACCAGGGGAACAATAATATATGTGAAATCCCACATCAAATCATCACAAATTGAATTATCAGGAAACGAAGCTGAATCTATATGGATCACTGTAGGATCTGGACAACATGAATGTACAATAGGATGTATATATCGCAGCCCGAGCAGTACCAAAGACAATTCATTTGCAGTACTAAACCAAATCACAGAAATATGTGGAAAGTCACCCAAACACATGTTAGTAGTTGGAGATTTCAACCTACCACAGATTGACTGGGAAATCAAATCGGCGCTAAATGGACCAAATAAGGAAACTTCGGAATACCTGCTTGAAATAATTGATGACAACTTCTTGACCCAACACCAGATGAAAACCACACAAACCAGAACAGGACAACAAGGAAATCTACTAGACCTAGTACTTACAAATGAGCCAGACACAATAAGCAACCTAGAAAACAACCCACCGCTGGGGAGAAGTGATCACCACATGCTTTCTATGACTATAAACTGTGCACAAAAATTCACACCAAATGAGAAAAAGATAGAACTTCTACAGAAAGCAGACTTCAAGAAAATGAGAAGTGATTTAAGTGTAGACTGGGAACAAATCTTCGAAGGCCAAACAACTGAAGAAAGCTAGTCAATATTCAAAACCAAATTAGAAGAAACCACAGAAAAACATATCCCCAAAATTACACCGGGAAAAAAGAGACAACCGTGGATAGATACAGAGTGTATGAAGGCGATAAGAACCAAACGGAAAGCTTTTAACAAGATGACACGAAAAAGGAAAGATGATACTCTGAATGAAGAAGATAAAAAGATATTTAGGAAAGCATGTAATCAAGCCAAGTCAGAAGTAAGAAAAGCCATAAGAAGATATGAAAAGAAAATGGCAAAAACGATAAAATATAATCAAAAACCATTCTGGAAATATGCCAACAATAAGAAAAAATCCAGAGTAGGAATCCCTGATCTTGATCGAAAGGATGGAACACAAACAAATTCAAACCTAGAAAAATCAGAAGTCCTTAACGAATTCTTCGCAGAAGTATTTACAGATGAGGAGACTGAGAATATACCAGTCATAGACTACATATATATAGGGTCTTATATTACCAACTGGCAGATAAGCGAAGGAGAAGTGACCCTTGAACTAAAAAATCTGAAAACCAACAAATCACCAGGACCGGACAAAATCAAAGGAATTATCCTCAAGGAACTAGCAGACACTATAGCCCATCCCCTCTATTTAATCTACAAGAAATCACTAGATGAAGGATACCTACCACAAGACTGGAGACGAGCTAACATAACCCCTCTACATAAGAGCGGTTCAAAGTCAAGTCCTAACAACTACCGCCCAATAAGTCTCACATATATTACCTGCAAAATACTTGAAAGCATCATCAGAAGGCAACTGATTGAACACCTGTACAAAAACAATCTCCTAAATACAGCCCAACATGGTTTCCTGCCAAATAGGTCTTGTACAACTAATCTTCTGGAAATAGTTGAAGCATGGTCAAATCTACTAGATACAGGGGGCGCTACTGATGCTATTTATCTTGATTATGCCAAGGCGTTTGATTCCGTGCCCCACCAAAGTCTCCTACTCAAACTGGAAAGAAATTTTGGAATTAGGGGTAAATCTCTGATGTGGCTCTCGCACTTCATCCAACATAGAGAACAACGAGTAGTTATAAATGACATATCAGCACCATGGACCCCTGTACGGTCAGGAATAGCTCAGGGATCTGTAATTGGACCTTTGATCTACCTACTGTATGTCAACGACATGCCAAACGTTGTTAAACACAGTAATATAAGCCTGTTCGCTGATGATACTAAACTCCATAGAAAAGTTAACTCCATAGATGATCAAACTTTACTACAGAGGGATATTGACAATGTTCAAAAATGGACTCAAGATTGGCAATTAAAATTCAATACTAAAAAATGTGGCGTACTACATATTGGAAGAAGTAACAGGAATTTCGACTACCTGATGAAAGACAACAACTCAGACCAGAAATCTACAATTAGACATAGTAACTGTGAAAGAGATCTTGGAGTTTATATGGATACAAATCTCAAATTCAGTAACCATGTCAAAACCATAGCAAACAATGCAAACAAAGTGCTTGGAATGGTAAAAAGATCTTTTACATACTGGGACATTGATACATTTAAATTACTATTCAATGGCTTAGTCAGACCCAAACTTGAGTTTGCACAATCAGTGTGGAATCCCTACATGAAGAAGGATATAGAAGCCCTAGAGAAAATACAAAGAAGAGCAACGCGTATAGTTCCAACACTTAAAGCTCTACCCTACCCCCAGAGACTAAAGGCACTAGACCTTACAACACTTGCCTACAGACGACTACGTGGTGATATGATAGAGACGTTCAAATACATCAACTCATACTATGATGTCAACACAACAGCAACATTACCTAATTTCCAAGCAAGAGAAACACACAATAGAAGAGGAAATTCCCAACCACTCCTAAAAGCCCACTGCAAAACCTCAATGAGACAAAACACTTTCAGCCACAGGGTAACAAACAATTGGAACAGTCTCCCAGAGTACGTAGTGCAGTCAGTCCATGTCAACCAGTTCAAGAACCGCCTAGATGCACATTGGTATCACCATCCTTTAAAATTCAATTACGAAATTGCTGGCGTACAAGTAGCCCCCAAGCTACGTTAGTTTCAAAAAGTATCAGAACTGTCATACAGGCAATGTCTGCCTAGGACGGAAAATTACTTATAAACTTATAAACTTATAATCATCTGGGACTGTGTATGCCAATTTCGGTTTGACCTTTGGATTTAATTGACAATTTTGCGAAGATTAATTTTAGCAATTTTACTTTACACTTCCTCATCAATAATCTTAACCTCTATATGTATACTCACAAAATGCAGTTTAATAAGAAACCAAAAAATGTGATGGGTTTACACAAATGATTTGTAGCCCTTTGGTTAACACGAAAATCTTTCGTGTCTATTCTTTCAAAAGCAAGCAAATTTTTTAATTGAAAGAATATTGAATGTTATGCAGAGATTTTTATCTCACATTGTCATCTTTAGATTGTATTTTCTGATTACATATCAGTGATCTCCCCAGCATTTTTTCTAACAGGGGTGGATTTCACGGCTCGCTTTGCTCGCAATATACACCGCTATTTTGTTTACCAGACCCCAAGTATACATTACTATTTATTTATTTAAGGGGCAGTGAGAAGGGCGGTGGTGGTCAACAGGGCGGGTGCAGGGCGGGTGAAATAAGCACACATGGCA